AAACCCTAAACCCTTTCCCCTCCCAAAACCCTTTCCCCGAAACCCAGGAGTGCGCGCTGGATACAAAAAGAGTGCGCACTGGATGCTGATATAGGAGTGCGCACTGGACGCAAATAGGAGTGCGCACTGGATCACCCTCCCTTCCCGAAGGCATCAGTACCGCATACGACATTGGCAAGGTCGCAGTCTAGCATGCATGCTACTTGCAAAAGGTATAGTTGAATGTGTTCATACTCACGTCTCCAATGTCATGCTAGCAAACTTAACTAAACTTTTCGATGGATGCACTGCTGTGGCATATGCGAAACAACAGTCCCAAATATGTTGTATGTGCAATATTTTCATTTAACATACATGTAGGGTAACTGTGTACTATGTCCGTTCCAATACAGATAGCAGAAGTCGTAACAGACAAAAGGTGATAGCCAGGCTTGCGCAAGTTATCTATAATATGTATACCGGCAGAAAGACACAAAAAGGAACAAGTCTGTTGATGCTGTCCTGAAGCGGTGCGTGCATATGCTTCACTACATTCAGGGAGGCAGTGAGAAATGTGGAAGCAGGGTTGGCGAATACATGTTCTACGTGCAAGGTGTTGATGTTGCGGTATACATCCACCCATGTGTGCTATATAGGGGCAGGACTGCTACGGCATGTTCGCAGGTCGCGAGCTCGCACTCCGTCTGTCTTATGAGGGGTTTGGTTGTGGTTTGGCCCAAGTCGCTTCTCAAAATTCGTATTTGCTGTTGATGATATTGTCATGGTCATATAATCATACAGTGAAGAAGTTGAAAGCACCATACTTTTGGTACCATATCTGAAAACGGCAGTTTTTAGACACCAATCGCCGCGGGAGCGGGCAAAGGTTTGAAGGTTAGTTCCAGGCCACGGTCTCCTATCGGATTTGCAAATCTCAGCAAATAAGTCGAATACATGTAGATACAACTGTTCATGTGACAATCTTGTAAACATGGGGGCCCCAGTGTGTTCCAACGTCATAAGTGGATCTGCAGCTGTGACAGGCAATTGCCACGGCTGCTGCTTGGAAGCTTCAACGTGTTGGGATCACAGTCAGAACTTCGATGTAATGTGCCGCGAGCCGCCAGCATCTTGAATTTGCTGTATGGTATTGCATGATCAGATTATCTCCTCCGTGCAAACGGGCATTGCTGGAGGATTGCTCGTGGGAAGGCCAGGTGTGTTTCTCGTTTGAATCGATGCAGAATGTGACGCTTTTTAGGAGTGCTTGGTCGCTCCTGCTGCGGAATGCTCGGGCATGCTCTGTGAAATGCTGCTGCTGTCTGTCCAAGCAAGTAAGGCCTGCTCTCCATCGCCGTGGAGTGGTTTCAAAACCGAGCATGGAGGCTGGCGTCCAAGATGAAGAGACGGCTTGCATTGAACGAGACGTTGAGAGTCAGGCAGCAGCAGGAAGCAAGCGTGTCATCATGCAAACCTGCTTACTGGGCCGCTGTCAGTCCAGAAGTGCTCGAGCCATCCCCGGTCTAAGCATCAGCCTAGCACCTTTCGTTGGACGACCAAGTCTTGGGGTGTCTCGGGTCCTGATTCTTTCAGTTTAATGTAGAGGGCATCCCAGGACTCCATGATGGACGAGCTCATCGGCTGGAGCCAGGAGCTAAGCGCTGCACGTGGCAAAAGTGTGCAATAGCAGAACCTGAGGCTTGGCTGTATCAGGAATATACTACCAGATTGTCCAAGGGGTGCGGCGGCCAGATTTTGAAGGGATGTGCCGGGGTGTCTACAGCTGTTGGAGCCAATCGCGAGAACCAGCCGGGTCACTGGAAGATTCCAGCTTCCTGCTCCTATCCGTGCCAGGGTGGTGCTCCACTGTTCTTGCTGCCTCTGACGATTGTCGAGCCTGAAGCTAAAACAGGTCGTGAGCCGTTAGCAAGCAGCACTTGTGTAGAGTCTCCTTAGGACCTGGTTGCAGTGGTCCGTGGCCTGGCTGGCAGCGGAATGAGCCAATTACTTTGCACAGAGAGCTCTGCTCTCAGGCCAGCACCAGTGTCGATGTTCGGCACAGAGTGCTAGCATCTTCCATTGTTTCGCATGTACATACAGGCTTGGGTCATGGGCACAGGTCCCTTAGCCCACAGCTTCTAGATTGCCAACAACTGGCAGACTGGGATTTCCGTGGCTACTCCCGTGCTACCCTGTGATGTCCAGGAATCGTTTCGAAAATTTCTGCGACCGGACCGGACAGTTGCTCGATGCTTTGATACTGTTGCAGCTGGGTGAAAACATTGCACGCAAACTGTGTAGCTACACCGATTCGGTGCAGTTTCGACGACAAGAGGCTGAGAAAAGCTCAGCTCACCGGAAGAGTGCGCCCATCCAGGCCTATGTTCTGTAAACGCAGAAGCTCTGTGCTCGCAAAAGCCTTTGCCTTTCTAAGGTTCCTGCCGGCGTGAAGTCGACGCGGAGGCTGCTCACATCACGAGCCATGCGAGTCGTAGGAGGCTTGCAAAAGCACGAAATGCCAGGGTTGCCTTGGAATCGAAGCCCGATGCTGCGGTAGGGAGGCAGCAGGCACGCTGCTCCAGCTACAAGCCTGGCTTTCCTCAGAGTTTCTTGTCAACAACCTGGTGCCGTTCAGGACCTACCAGTAGAGCCGAGGGATCTTGACCCAGAGTCTTGGCTGCGAGAGATTGCGGACGAGACCTGCGAACCTCACCAGCTGTCAACTAAGGAGATGGACGGACAACCTGAGTGTGATGACACACGCAGAGGGGTTGCCTGTGCTGGCGGAGCGGGATGGACGCAGGATGATCGGGAAACCGATCATGAAACAGTCGAAGAGATTGAACCAGATGCTCAAAAGGGCACGGAGGCATCCCAGCTGCCGGGTGCTTTTTATGGCTCTGTGTCCAGCTTCCGTGTTGGAGGCCTCTGAGCCCAGAGCCGGCAGCGCGTCGGTGGGATGGAGCCAGGCTGCGTGCTTGGGCCTGGGCTGTAGCCTGTAGCATCGTCCTGTGCAGATTCTCTTACATGAGAAGCCAAGACACGTTGTAACGCAAGGAAGAGGGTTTAGCGAAACCAACTATGAGCTAACAGGAAGAGTTGGAGCGGGCGCTCCCGTGGTGACACCCATTTTCCATCAATATTTTCAGACCCGAGCTGTCGGCGCCAATTAGTACTCGATTTCAGCCTGCCAAGCTGATCAAGGAACGAAGCCATTCCGAAGGCAGAATATGTCCGTTGCAGAATGCATTTGAGTTAGCACGAGGGAGATGATGTCTGATGACTTTTTCTCTTCCGTTTTGAAGTCGCGGTCATCCGCTGGACCGGGGAACTGGTCAACATAAACAGCAGCCTACCGTCAACCGTATGCGCCGCATGCCGTACGTCACAACGTTGATGATGCTGATCCTTTCAGCCTGTCAGGCATCTTTGCAGGGAAAGCAAGTGGTGCAACCGCCGGCAGACCGGCAAAACGTTCCAAAGTGGATGCCAACGCTGAGGCCCAGACTGCTCCCGGTATTGAGAGGAAAGTGCGGTCTTTGGGGCTCTGGGCTAGGTGGCTAGGGCCCGGCACCAGCCTTGAATCGCTATTCTGCACTCCAATGCTCGCGGGCTCCATGTGATCGGCGGTGTCTTTTCAACACACTACCGATACAGCAACTCTCCACAGCTTAATATGACCGTTTGCATCTTCAGCTGTGCCCTCTCTGGCAACATGGCACGCAGATGGTTTCGGCATGTGTCTGGGTGGTCGGGAAGTCACAGGCTCTGGTGATGGTAAACAGAGCATGCTCGCCTTTCAAACGACGGCAACAAGCGCCAACAAGGCCTGCCCTGAGCAGTTTCCTTGAACGTAATCAGCCAGGCACTTGCAGTCAGCAGATGGCAAAAGGCCGCTTGGACTGTTTGAAGTTGCTTTCGCTTGAGACTGCTGGACTTTCGACTTTTACCAGTCTGCGTTTGTCAGGCCCCGGCTCAGGCAAAGGAGGGGCGACCTCCAGTGATGGTTGCAGTGCGAGACTTTTCCTGTCCAGAAAGAATTGATGCATGGCTGAACAACTTTGTGTCGCTCAGGCTTGCCAATGCGCAGCGACTGAGTCACAAGAAAGCCAGAAAGCTCAGAACGTAGCTGAAAGTTCTGTCAAACTCAGCTCCCTGAATGCCTCTGGGCTGTCGAGTTATGGCAGCAGGTCGGATTTGGGGCATCATCGTTTTACAGTTTCACCAGATCGGGAACAAAGAACGGATTCGAGCACCGTGTTGCCTCGGAGGGGCATGTTCGTGCATGCATAGTAGCTGTGATCATCTTCGAAGCTCGTGTGAACTTGCATCTAGGTCTTGTCTCAGGAGCAACAGCCTGGAAGTAGTGGAAGCAGTCGGAACATGCGGAACGACCTTGAGTTCATGCAAACGGCTTACCAAAACGAGAGTTTAGTCAGCAACCCACTGATGTTTTAGCATGACTCCCTGCAACCAAGCGCGATTCGTCGTCGCATCCAGTTGGCAGGCATCTTGAGTACATGCTGTCACCCAGAGAGGATTACTTCTGAGCGTGAAGGAAATGCGGGCAGCGCCGCGGCCGACATGGTGCAGGACATTCCGGTGCTGCAATGATGCCGGGTTCATGCCAACGGTGGCCTGCAGGTCGCGTTGGCCACATCCCCGGCCTCGTGCAAGCTTAGTGGCGAGACCGTTTCGGCAGTGGTTGATGGAGGCCTGGCTGATGCACCACCGCTGTTCGGGGTTTGCTTTTACCAACGAGGTGCAAGAAGGTGCACAGCAGCTGGCTGCAAGCAGCAAGAATCTGCAGACGGTGGACGACCTGATGGGGGGCCTGCGGCGCAATCCCAGCATGAGGCCATTCCGCTCCGTCGCGCACATTTTCTAGTGATTTACATTTTTGGAGGCGATGGATTTGCGGGATTGTCTGTGCATGCGTCGCGCTGTACAGCTTGATCCCTGCCGTCCCTTTATTGGCATTGCAAGTTGAGGACTGTCGAAAGTCACGACTGCGACTCACAAGACAGCACAATTCAAGCACCGGCTGAAGGACTGGCAGTCTTTGAATCAGGAAAGCTTTGAGAACACGCTTCGTCTGCTCCAGAGTCTCAGCTTGGCGATCATGATGTATGCAACTAGAGGTTGTCTCGTGTGCTGCAATGAAGCCCTAAGGACAGATTATGGCGGGAGCAAGAGCATGTGGCTATGCCGCACTTCCGGCACCAGATGTTGAAGAGAGTACAGTGGCATCGCTTGCCTCTCTGCCGAGGTATTTTTTGTGCTTTCTGCTGAACAAGTTGCCGTGGAACTTGGGCTTTCCGCCCACATCTGACATTCAAGCTGCTGCCTCTGCAATGTTTGGCTCTGCAGCTTGCTCGCATGTGATAACAGGACGACACCCCGCTTTGGCAAACCAGGGCCACTTTCTGTTGAACTGCTAACGTAGCCAGATGCTACTCGCTCAGGTGATTTCGGGATCCGTGCTAGCAGCGATTTTCGACACCGCTGCGGCGGTTGTGTTCTTCTTGGCAGGCCGATTCCTGCCCCTCGGTATAACCACTTATCTGGACGCGAGGCAGTTCGCTATGCAGCAATCTGTCCTTCAGCAAACAAGTGAGGTGCCGCTTGACGACGCAGGGACCGAAGCTGAGAATGGATTGTACGTACACTTAGTGGGACCAACACGTGATTTCACAACAGCAGCAGCATCAGGCAAGCAATCTCCGACGATGCTTGCTCTTGATGCTGCTCCTCGCCTGCCAGTGTCATGTCACCCTCTTTGCAGATGAGCCGTTGCGAGCAACTGCTTGTGATCGTCCTTGCTTCCAGGGTCGCAAAATGGCAGAGGAGGAGATTTCTCTCTTTGAGCGGGCTGCTTGCATTGTCGTGTGCTTGGCGAGGACGGGCTTCGGCTGGTGCTTCTGCTCCAGCTGGGCTTTGGCCCTGGAGCGCCAGATGGTGCTATCTCAGTGGCAACCCGGCCATCAAAGTTCAGAGTGCTGATCATGACAGTGTGTCCTTGTTGCTACAATGAGCCCTATGTTCACCACGATTGTCGTTACTATTAGCAACCTGTCTTTCTTTAGTTGGGTTTCATCATGTGTCCTTTTTTGGGGAAAAACCCCAAAAAACGGTCCTGTAAAGGCAGGGGACTTTTTCCGTGGTGCTAGTGAGGATGAGTGTCACAGTCATGATGGTGATGATGGTAATGATGACGGGTTTGACAGTCCGTCTACACAACTCACAAAAGCTCGAGAGCAGTCGTGCACCAGGGAATGGGAGCTCTCGGGGTGAGTCCGTCGAAGTTTGTCCTGGGCCTGGCCCCTGGCAGAGCGGCCATGTCATTCTCCTGTGGCTTTCGCTGTTGCCAGGGCTTTCCATGAGGTGGCTTGGGATCTACGAAAAGTTTTTTTTTGGCATTTGGCAAGGGCTGGGATTGCAGGGATGATCGGGATTTCTAGCTAGATCCTTGGATCCCAGACATCGCTGATCTTGCCTCCCTTCATTGCCTGCGTAGATGAAAGTGCCAGGTAGCTTATCCACGCTCGTTAAGCTAAGCATCCTGATCCGCGAGATCGACAGAACCGGCGAATGACAAAGCGTCAGCACTAATTTTATGCTTTACATTTTGGATTTCGTAAAAGTCCTTGTGCAGTAGCTGGACAAACACCCCATGCAATCCGTGTTCTTCTCGGGAACACTGAGGCCATGCATTTGGTGCATTGAAGTGGTCTTTAGAACTCGCGACACCCTCAGACTGCTGGTCAAGTCTACTCTATCACGAGCAGTTGCACTGCAGGTATCTTCAGGTGCAGCCATGTCACTGTCCACGCTTCCGACAAGTGGCTTGCAGGCCTCGAGTCGGCTAGCTAAGTTGTTAGCTCCGCCCGTCCGAAGGCCTCTCTCTTGGCCACCAGAGTCCTCGAATTTGTAGGGGCTGAAAGCCTTGCACTGGCCAACAGTGCTTTGGCACATCGCCGATTGAACGAGAATCTACAA